GAGGCATTAGGTGAGATGAAATCAATTGGACGTATAATTACGTAATCGTCAAAATTTGTAGAAGTTAGTGGTCGAGTATTGAGTATTCCCTCGATTTCTGTTATTAAAGTTATCAATTCTCTTTCCCACAATAACCTCCTACCGATGGCTTTTTTCATAGCTCTTTTCGTTAATCCAATGATTCTTTCATAAACTCCTCCAGTCCAAGGAGCTCCTGGCACTATATTTTTCCAAACCATTCCCTTTTTCGCGAAAAAGTTCGTTAGCTTGATATCCTGTTCCTCCATAGTTTTGAAAACCAGTTGAAATTGACTTGCGTTGTCACTTAAGATTGACTCAGGACAGCCTCGTCGGGCAATGAATCTTCTAAAAATGTGCAAAAAGCATTCGGCGGATAGGTTTTCTACTAATTCCAAATGCACCGCTCTGGTTGTGAAACACGTAAATAGAGCTACCCATCTTTTTGTCAACCCACTATCAATTTTAACAGAGAGGGGACCCATGTAGTCTAGACCCACATGGGCGGAAGTTCTAGATCGAGTAACTCGATTTTCTGGGAGATTGGGCATGTCCGGAAGCTTGAACGGTTTGGTAGTCCATCGTTTGCAAGCTCTACACTTATTCAGGACTCGTTTGACTTCACTTCTGCCTTTAGGTACCCAAAATTTACGTCGCATTTCTGCAAGTGTATGAGCAACTCCAGCATGGATTAAGTCTTCATGATATTGTTGTATGAGGAATTCAGTTATTGGATTGTGTCTTGGAAGATAAATGGAACGTTTACTGCCCACTTCTAATTCTGAGCTCTCCAATCGATTCAGGGATCTCCACAAACCCTGATCATCGAGATACAAATTCCATTTTTCCTTTTCATCTTCGATGATGCCTTCGGCTTGTGCTTGTTTGATTAATATCAACTCTGCCAAGTTGTAATCTTCACTTGTGAATCTTTCCTTTTCAATTGATAATGTTTGTAACCACTTGAATTTTCCTTTTGATGTTATTTTGATGAACTTGAGAACTCGTACAGTGGTCCGTAACAATTTTAGCCATTTGCTGAAACGACTTCCATTTATGAGTGTAAAACTCGCGTTAGTGTGAGTTGTAATCTTTGCAATGATCTTTTCTTTTGGCTCTTCGATCTCCTCTTTAAAATTAAATTCCCATTGCGGCCAACTGGATTCGTTTCCTTTTAACCATGAAGGTCCATACCACCATAGTTCATTCTTCCCTAATTTTCG